TGTCGCCCGGCCCCGTGCAAGGCCATGCCCGGCTGGGCTATAGCGCGCATGAAGGGCCGACGCGCGACCGCGCTGATCCGCCATCCATCTCGCCGATCGCGATATTGATCTGTTCGAGCGAGGAGGCCTGTTGCTTGGCGGTGCTGGCCATGCCCGTCATCAGGCCGCTGATCTCGTTGATCCGGCCGCTGATCCGCTGCAACGCCTGCCCGGTTTCGACGACCAGCTTGCTGCCGGTGCCGACCTGTTCGGAGCTGGCGGTGATCGCCGCGGCGCTTTCCTCCAGCGAGGCGGCCTGTTGCTCGGTCCGACGCGACAGATCGTCGGCGGCCGAGCGATCCGTCCGTGCCGCTGCGAATGACGCCCGAGGTCTGCGAGACGCCGCCGATGGTGGTGCACAGCGAGTCCATCGCGGCGTTGAAATCGGTCCGCAGCTCGGCGAAGCGGTCCGGGAAATCCTCGGTGATACGGCCGGTCAACTGCCCGGCGGCCCGGGCCGCGAATCCGGTCGAGCAGCACCGTCACCGCCTGCCGCTGTTCCAATTCGAGCGCCTTTGGGAATCATGGATGTCGACCAGCGAGCCGCTGGCGCGCGCACCTTGCCCCTGCGGTCCTTGACGACGCCACCGGTCGCCTGAAACCAGCGATAGGCGCCGCTCTTCACCTTCAGCCGGTAGATCACATTATAGGGAATGCCGTCTCCACCGTCTTGCCGAACGCGGTGAAGGTCGGCGCGACGTCATCGGGTGGAGCAGATCCGACCAGAGGTCATCAGATTGGGAAAATCCGCCTCCGAGCTGCATAGCCGCACAGACGGCGAAATTCGGACGACCAGTCCAGCGTGATTTCGCATGGGCCGCGTCCCGTTATGGATCACGGCGTCCCACAAGCCGACCCCCGAATAGTTGGAAAGCGTCGCCAACCATTCCAGCTTGTTTCTGACCCCAGCATTCACTCATCCAACTCGGCGCAAAGGTCGACCGGAACGCTAGGCAGAGAGCTTTAACGAGTCGTTGTGGGGCCGAAAGCGGGCTGGACGCCCCAAAGCACAATCACCCCGTTATCAATCATTTATCGCGCCAGAAATTTTGGCGGCCCGTGTGATGCTGAGGAGGCAGTGGCAAAAAGGCCCGGATCGCTCGGGCCTCCTTTTCCGGTCTAGCCGATCGATCAGTCGCGATCACCGGTCAGGAAGGCCGGCGCGAACTCCGGCGCGCTGCCCTGTTCGCTGCCTTCGCGACGGGGACGGTCGCCCCGGTCGCGGCGGGGACCGCCACGGCCTTCGCCACCACGATCGCCGCCATCGCGGCGCGGACCACGACCGCCCTCGCGGTCGCCACGCGGGCCACGGTCACCGCGCGGCTCACGCGGTTCGCGCGCCGGACGATTGTCCTCCAGCTCGGCACCGGTTTCTGGTCGACGACGCGCATCGACAGGCGGACCTTGCCGCGCGGATCGATCCGAGGACCTTGACCTTGACTTCCCCGGCCTTCGCTCAGAACGTCCGAGACCTTCTCGACGCGCTCGTTCTGATCTCCGAGACGTGAACCAGACCGTCCTTGCCGCCCATGAAGTTCACGAACGCCCTGAAATCGACCGGGTTGACGACCTTGCCGTTGTAGATCTGCCGACCTCGGCCTCTTCGACGATGCCCTTGATCCAGTTCATCGCGGCTTCGATCTGCGCGGAGTCGGACGAGCTGATCTTGATCACGCCCTCGTCGTCGATGTCGACCTTGGCGCCATGGTGGCGACGATCTCGCGGATCACCTTGCCGCCGGTGCCGATCACGTCGCGAATCTTCGACTTGTCGATCGTCATCGTCTCGATGCGCGGGGCATGGGCCGACAGCTCGGTGCGGGTCTCGCCCAGCGCCTGTTCATCTCGCCCGTGATGTGCGCACGGCCGTCCTGGCCTGCGCCAGCGCGGCTTCGAAGATCTCCCCCAGGTGATGCCGGCGATCTTGATGTCCATCTGCATCGTGGTGATGCCTTCGGACGTGCCCGCCACCTTGAAGTCCATGTCGCCCAGATGATCCTCGTCACCCCAGATGTCGGACAGGATCGCATAATCTTGCCCTCCGTGATCAGGCCCATGGCGATGCCCGAAACGGGGCGCTTCAGCGAACGCCCGCATCCATCAGCGACAGCGAGCCGCCGCAGACGGTGGCCATCGACGACGAGCCGTTCGACTCGGTGATGTCGCTGGTCACGCGGATGGTGTAGGGGAATTCCTCCTTCGACGGCAGCACGGGGTGCAGCGCACGCCATGCCAGCTTGCCATGGCCAATCTCGCGACGGCCCGGCGCGCCGAAGCGGCCCACTTCGCCGACCGAATAGGGCGGGAAGTTATAGTGCAACATGAAGTGTTGATACGACAGGCCGTTCAGACCGTCGATCATCTGCTCGGCATCCTTGGTGCCCAGCGTCGTGGTCGCGATCGTCTGGGTCTCGCCACGGGTGAACAGCGCCGAGCCGTGCGCGCGCGGCAGGAAGTGGACTTCCGACTCGATCGGGCGGATCTGCGTGGTCGAACGGCCGTCGATACGGCGACCGTCCTTCAGGATCGCGGTACGGACGATCTCGGCTTCCAGCTTCTTGACGAGCTTGGCGGCGGCCAGCTGCTCCTGCGGGGTGCGGTCGGCCATGGCGGCCTTCGCCTTGGCGCGGGCCTCGCCCAGCGCGGTCTGGCGCGCCTGCTTGTCGGTCAGCTTGTAGGCCGCCGTGATGTCCTTGCCGACCAGCTTCTTCAGCTCGGCCTTCACGGCCTTCTGGTCGTCGCCGACGTTCAGTTCCCACGGATCCTGGCGGCCTGCTCGGCGAGGTCGATGATCGCCTCGATCACCTGCCCGCTCGCCTTGTGCGCGAACATCACCGCGCCCAGCATCACCTCTTCGGACAGCTCCTTGGCTTCCGATTCGACCATCATCACCGCGTCATGCGTGGCGGCGACGACCCGAATCGAGTTCGCCCTCGAGCACTTCGCTGTCCGACGGGTTGAGCTGATACTCGCCATTCTTGTAACCGACGCGCGCGCGCCGATCGGGCCCATGAAGGGGACGCCCGAGATGGTCAGCGCCGCCGAGGCCGCGATCATCGCCGGGATGTCGGGCTCATTCTCGCCATCATAGGAGAGAACCTGCGCGATGCAGTTGATCTCGTTGTAGAAACCTTCGGGGAACAGCGGGCGGATCGGACGGTCGATCAGGCGGCTGATCAGTGTCTCACGCTCGGTTGCGCCGCGTTCGCGCTTGAAGAAACCGCCGGGGATGCGGCCCGCCGACGAATTTTTCCTGATAGTGAACGGTGAGCGGGAAGAAATCCTGCCCTTTCCTTCACATTCTGGCGGCCGTCACGGCGCACAGCACCACCGTCTCGCCCAGCGTCGCGATCACCGCGCCGTCGGCCTGACGGGCCACCTTGCCGGTTTCGAGGGTCAAAGTCTTGCCGCCCCACCGATGGCCACTTTCTGGTATTGAACATGGAATATCCTTCACCCGACGGGCCCATCCCGCCGGGGCTTGGGGGTTGAGCCAAAATTGGCTCTGAGGTCGGCCGAATTGCCGCCCTTCCGATTGCTCTACCCGGGCTTTGTACCGGGTTTGATGACATTGAGGCTTTGAGGATGCGCCCTTGCGGCATCCGGTCGGCCTGGTGCTTCATACACCAGCCGATAAAAAAAGGGCACCCCCGATGGGAGTGCCTTTTTGTGGCTTAGCGTCCCGCTCTTACTTGCGGAGGCCGAGCTTGGCGATCAGCGCCAGATAGCGGTCGCCATCCTTGTGACGCAGATAGTCGAGCAGCGAGCGGCGCTTGTTGACCAGCATCAGCAGACCGCGACGCGAATGGTTTGTCCTTCGCGTGCGTCTTGAAGTGCTCGGTCAGGTTCTGAATACGCTGGGTCAGGATCGCGACCGACTTCGGGCGAACCCGTGTCGCCTTCGGCGCGGGCGCGTGATCCTGATGATTTCCCGGCGTTCAGCGGTGATCGACATCGTGGTCCTTTCTTAATCGAGGCTGAAACCGCGAACGACCCGGACCTGTGCGTCCAGCGCCTCCACCAGCGCCACCGGAGTATCCCCAGCATCGCGAAATATTGGCCATCGTCCACGGCAATCCCGGCCAGCACACGCCCCTGACGGAGCGCCCCTGCCCCGGTCGGGGTCGAGAGCAAGAGCCGGGATGTCGTCCAGCCCCGCCCTCAGCGGCAGGGAGTATCTGTTCAAGAGTGCGCGCCTGCCCCATTTCGTTCAATTTGTCCAGCGATATCGCCGGGGCCGGGTGAAGGGCCCCGCCTTGATGCGACGGAGCATGGTGACGTGCCCCACGGTGCCGAGCGCCAGCGCGATGTCGCGGGCGAGCGAGCGGATATAGGTGCCCTTCGAGACATGGGGCGGTGAGGGTGATGTCCTTGAGTTCCTTCCCGGCACGGGGAGGGGGACCGCCAGCCGCAGGCTGGGGTGGAGGGGCTTCGGCAAGGACCTGCCCAGTGGCCTCCCCCTCCACCATTCGCTGACGCGGTCGGTCCCCCCCGTTCCGGGAGGAGATGAGCGAATGAATCGTCACACGGCGACTCGCGAGAACCACCTCTTCGCCAGCGCGCGCCAGTCATAGGCGCGCTCGCCGTCGATCTTCAGCGCGGAATAGGCGGGCGGCACCGGTCGATCGGCCCGGTGAAACGCGGCAGCACCGCCTCCAGCGCCTCGCGGGTCGGGCGCACATTGCTCTCCGCCACCACCTCTCCCTCGGCGTCCAGCGTCGAAGTCTGCACGCCGAAACGGATGGTGAAGTCATACACCTTGTCGCTGTCGAGCATCCGCCCGGCCAGCTTGGTCGCCTCGCCCACCGCGATCGGCAGTACGCCGGTCGCCAGCGGATCGAGCGTGCCGCCATGGCCGACCTGATCCCCTTGCCATAGCCGCCACGGCGCAGCACGCGCTTGACCGCGCTCACCCCCCTGGGTCGAGCCGAGCCCCAGCGGCTTGTCGAGTATGATCCATCCATGCATCGCGCAGGCGTTAGTCGGGCTTGGTCCCGCCCTCAAGCACCGCCGCGCCCGCCAGCGCCTCGCCGAAATGGCGGCGGCACAGCGCGATATAGCGGTCATTGCCACCGATCTCGGTCTGTGCGCCCTCGGCGATCGCGTGGCCTTGCATCGACGCGCAGGTTCATCGTCGCCTTGGCCCCGCAGACACACACCGATTTAATCTCGCTGAGCGCATCGGCCAGCGCCAGCAGCCGGGCCGAGCCGGGAAAGAGCTGGCCCCGCTCAGTCGGTCCTGAGACCATAGCACAGGACCGGAATCCGATGCCGGTCGGCCAGCCGCGCCAGCTGGTCCACCTGATCCGGCGTCAGGAACTGCGCCTCATCGACCGTGATACAGGCGAGCGGAGTCTTTCCGTGCCGCTCCAGCGCACAGGCCTCCAGATCGGTCGTCGCACGAACGGCGTCGCGGGCTGCGACAGGCCGATGCGCGAGGCGATGGTGCCATAGGCGAAGCGGTCGTCGATCGCGGCGGTGAACAGCATCGTGTTCATCCCCGCTCGCGATAGTTGAAATCGGCCTGCAGCAGCATGGTCGATTTCCCCTGCATTCATACTGGCATAGTAAAAATAGAGCTTGGCCATATCCCGCCCTTATCGGAAGGGAGCCGCCATATCGAGCATCGGAGCGAAACGGGCATGTGGGTTGGCACGCGAAGGGCCATAAGCAATGATGGCCCTGCTGATGGGCAGCGCCGGATCGACGGCCACCCCGGCTCGTTCGCCTATAGCATCGATCCCGCCCGTGCGCGCGTGCAGGCGAAGGTCGGCTTTTTCGGGCTGGGCAGCAAGACGGCGCACTTTCCCCGGCTGGAGGGCCGCGTCGCGCTGTCCGACCGGGATGCCAAAGCGGTGACGCTGGACGTGCGGATCGATGCGCAAGCCCCGGAGGCGGGGATTCGCTCACCCGGTCGCGGCTGCGCGGGCCCGACTTCTTCGATGTCGAGCGCTACCCCCGCGTGACCTTCCATGGTTCGACCATGACCCGCACCGGACCGCATAGCGCGCAGGTGACAGGGACGATCACCGCGCGCGGGTGGCTCACCGGCGGCGCTGGCGGTGGATTTCTCGCGCGACTTCACCGCGATGACCGGCCGCGAGCCAGTGCATATCGCCGCCACGACGCGGATCGACCGGCGGGATTTCGGATGACGGCCTATCCGTTGATCGTCGGGCGGCAGGTGACGATCGCGATCGACGCGGATTTGCTGCCGGTCGGGGGTAAGTGTCCGCCACCCGTTCAGCCTGAGCGAAGTCGAAGGCCAAGGGAAGTCATATCGTCTTGCTTCGCGCAGAGATGCGGAGACGCAGAGGGTTCTGCGCAACTCCCCACTCCACCCCGGCGAAGGCCGGGGTCCTGGTGCAGCGGATGCGCGATGGCGCGGACATTGGCCTCCCCGCCTTGGCAAGACGCACCATCAACGCCTCGATGCTGGCCCCGGCGGCGGAGGCCGGGGGGAGTGCCCTATTGAATGCGGGGTCTTCTCTCCGCGTCCTCCGCGCCTTTGCGCGAACCTGAATCCCGTGGCCTTTGACGTCGCTCAGGCTGAACGGAGGTTGGGTGTCAGTCCTGGACGACTCTCCCTCCTCCGTGTCCTGCGACACCTTGGGCGAGCGGAGGAGCGAGTCGATATGGCTGCCCCTCATCGAAACTCTCGTCCGCCGGGAACTTCAGCTTGGCGGCGTATTTCATCTTCACCCGGTGCGCGACCTCACGCTGGAGATACGCGGTGTTGGTGCGCAGCGCCTGATCACCACCTCCTCGTCCTGCCCAGCAGCGGCTTCACGAAGACCGTCGCGTGGCGCAGGTCGGGCGACATGCGCACTTCGGTGACGCTGACCATGTGCTTGCCAGCGTCTCGTCATGCACGTCGCCGCGCGCAAGGATTTCGGACAGGATATGACGCACCTGCTCGCCGACGCGCAGCAGGCGGACCGAGGTTCGGCGGGGTTTTTGGCTTGACCATGTCGTTCTTCTTCAAACGGAAATCGCGGCCGCCCGACGGGCGACCGCGATCATGTCCGGCAGAGGCGGGAGGCAGGAGTGATCCCACCACCCTGCCCGCATCAGAGCGAACGCTCGCGCAGTTCGACCTCGAAGGTTTCGAGATAGTCGCCCGGCTTGATGTCGGTGAAGTTCTGCGTGAACGTCACACCGCACTCCGTGCCAGCGCGAACCTCGGCGACATCGTCCTTAAACCGGCGGGCGAGTTGATCTCGCCCCGGTAGATGATGACGTCGTTGCGGGTGATACGCGCCTTGAGCGCCTTGCGGATGACACCCTCGGTGACCAGCAGACCAGCGGCCTTGCCGATCTTGCCCGCCGAGAAGACCTCGCGGATTTCGGCGCGGCCAACGACCGTTTCGAACGCCTCGGGGCCCAGCTCGCCATGCCATGCCCGCGCGGATCTCGTCGATCAGGTCGTAGATGACGTCGTAATATTTCAACGCCACCTTGTTCCGCTCGGCGATCTCGCGCGCCTTGGCATTGGCACGGACGTTGAAGCCGATGATCGGCGCACCGCTGGCGGCCGCCAGCGTCACGTCAGACTCGGTGATACCACCGACGCCCGAATGCAGGATGCGCGCCTTGATGAGGTCGGACGCGATCTTATTGATCGACGCCACGATCGCCTCGACCGTCCCTTGCGTATCCGCCTTGACGACCAGCGGATATTCCTTGGCCGGTTCGCCTTCAGCGCCGAGAACATCGACTCGTGCTGGCCGGGGCCGAGGTGGTGCGCTTCTGGAGCAGCACGCTTTGGCGGTATTCGGCGACCTCGCGGGCGCGCGCTCGTTCTCGACGACCGGAGCAGGTCGCCCGCCCGCACGCCCGACAGACCGAGCACCTCGACTGGCATCGCAGGCCCTGCTTCCTTCACCGGCGGCCCTTGTCGTCGACCAGCGCCTGGACCTTGCCGCTTTCCGCGCCGACCACGAACACGTCGCCGACCTTCAGCGTGCCGCGCGTGACGAGCACGGTCGCGACCGGACCACGGCCCTTGTCGAGCTTGGCCTCGACCACGCTGCCCTCGGCGGCGCGATCGGGGAGTTGGCCGACAGTTCGAGCAGTTCGGCCTGAAGCTGGATCTTCTCGATCAACTGATCCAGACCGATCTTCTTGAGCGCCGACACTTCAACGTCCCGGTTTCACCACCCATTTCCTCGACCTGCACGTCGTGCTCGAGCAGACGCTCGCGGACGCGCTGGGCGTTGGCGTCGTGCTTGTCGATCTTGTTGATCGCCACGATCATCGGCTTGCCCGCCGCCTTTGTGTGGTTGATCGCCTCGATCGTCTGCGGCATCAGCCCGTCATCGGCCGACCACCAGCACCACGATATCCGTGACGTCGGCACCGCGGGCGCGCATCTGGGTGAAGGCCTCGTGGCCCGGCGTGTCGAGGAAGGTGATCTTCGACTTGTCCTTCAGCGTGACCTGATAGGCGCCGATATGCTGGGTGATGCCACCGGCCTCGCCGCGTACCACGTCGGTGCCGCGCAGCGCGTCGAGCAGCGAGGTCTTGCCGTGGTCAACGTGACCCATGATCGTCACGACCGGCGGGCGCGGCTGCAGGCTCTCGGCCGCATCCTCGCTGGTGTCGAGCGCCAGATCAATGTCACTGTCGGAGACACGGACGATGTTGTGGCCGAATTCGGTCACCAGCAACTCGGCGTGTGTCCCGGTCGATGGTCTGCGTCATCGTGACGGGCATGCCCATCTTGAACAGCGCCTTGACCAGATCCGCGCCCTTCTCAGCCATACGGTTGGCCAGTTCCCCGGACGGTAATCGCCTCCGGCACCTGCACGTCGCGGACCTGCTTGACCTGCGGCTCACGCGGGCCGCCAAAGCCACGCTTTTCCTTCTCGCGGGCACGCTTCAGCGCGGCGAGCGAGCGGGCGCGAGCGCCGTCCTCGTTCAAGGCACGGTTGACGGTCAGCTTGCCGCCGCGACGCTCGTCACCCTTGCGGTCACGCTGCTGCGGACGGCTGGGCGGCGCGTTGCGCGGAGTCGGCTGGCCAGACGGCATGGAGCGCGGCGCGCCACCCGAGGGAGCCGACGCATTGCCGCTGGGCGCGCTGGCCGCCGCCGGGCGGGGCAGGCGCGGCGGCGGGCTTGGGCGCAGGCTTCAGGGATTTCAGGGACGCTGCACCGGCGAGAAGCGGCGCGGCGCTGGCATCGACGGATCGCGACCCAGCACGGGCGGAGTCGGCACCGCCGGAGCGGGCGCAGACACAGGCTTGGCCGCGACCGGAGCCGGTGCGGGCGTCGGCGCAGGGGCCGGAGTCGGCGCCGGGCGGCCGCCTCGACCTTGGGCTCTTCCGCCTTGGGCTGCGGCGCTGGGATCACCGGGCGCTCGACCGGGCGGAAAGGGCGTGCCTGAACCGAAATGGTCGGCGCGGCCGGAGCGGGCTCCGCCTCGGCGACGGGCGCAGGAGCCGAAGTCGGCTCGGGGGCCGGCGCGGGCTCGGGAGCCGGTTCCGGCGCAGGCGGCGGGCGGCGGCAGCCTCGGCGGCGGCACGCGCACGCTCTTCGGCCCCCGCGCACGCTCGTCCTCGACGCGCTGCTGACGCTCGGCGTCCTCGCGACGGCGGATCTCTTCCTGCATGGCGAGGCGCTGTTCCTCGGCCTCACGCAGCAGGCGGGCCTGCCGCTCCTGCGGGGTCTCATTCGACGGAACCGGGCGCGGCGGCGCGACCGGCGCCGCTGCGGCGGGGCCGCAGGCGCAGGGGTCGGCGCAGGCGCAGGCGCGGCCGCCTCGGGCGCTCCACCCTGCGGGCCCGGGGACGCGACGGCGCTTCGTCTCGACGATCACGGTGTTCGAGCGGCCGTGGCTGAAGCTCTGCTTCACCTTGCCGGTCTCGACCGTGCGCTTTCAGCCCCAAAGGCTGGCGCATCCCGAGTTTCGGCTTGTCGTTGTCGGTCTCGCTCACTCAAAATCCTCGTGTACGGTCACGGCCGGTCGGTCACCAGTAGGTCGGACGCCGATGCGCCTTGCGAGGCCGTTTCGCAAGGCGTTGCCACAGGGTCGGGTCCGATAAAATGCAGCCAGCGGTCGAGCGCTTCGCTCACCCGCTTTGCCGCGTTACGATCTGTCAGGCCGATGTGTACCACATTTTCGCGGCCCAACGCCATTGACAATATGGGGCGTGGGCGGGCAACGCCAACCCCTTGAGATCGGAACCTTCACGGTCCGTTCCCACGCGCCACGCCTGCGCCAGCTTGCGGCATCCATCCTCGCCCGCATCGGACGCGTGATAGAGCGCATGCAACTGCCCCGAGCGTGCCGCCGTCGCGATCTTGTCCGATCCGGTCAGCAGCATGCCGGACCGCGACTCGAGGCCGAGCCTATCGAGCGCATTCCGCTCCAAAGCGGAGGCGATCAGATCGGGCAGGTCGTCGGGGATGGTGAACTCGCCCGTCTTGAACGCGCGCGCAAGGCCCCCTTCAAT